TGTGTGTGTGTGTGTGTGTGTGTGTGTGTGTGTGTGTGTGTGTGTGTCTGTCTGTCTGTCTGTGTCTGTGTCTGTATCTGTGTGTGTATGTTCCAGCGTAACTCTGGAATGACTCGAGCGATTTCAACCAAACTTGGCACACAGATGATTTACTCTCCGGAAACAAATACTGTGGGAATAAGACACCCCTAACACCCCTTGGGGTGTGCGTTCTGTTAAGATACAGCCTATTGTGCCTTAAAATGGCTTCTACTGTACTGCCGTAAAATGACTTCTACCATACAGTGGAGTGGATTTGCCATGGAGTACTCACAGTACTCCACAAGTGGGCTTCCTCCAGTAAGGGGGAAAATCCAACATTAGATATTACGTTTGGTCCAGACATTTTCCCACCGGGTAACGGTGGGTTATCAACTAATTAGAAATAAAATACCTGATGCCTTCCCCTCATTTAGATTTCAGAGTTATGGCCGGAATCCACTGGAGTTGGGTGGCCAATAAATTTAAATAAATGAACCAATACAAATTTCAAAATCCACTGGACTGACAGGCTGGGGCTGGCTAGCAAGAGTGAAAAACAGCTGGAAATCATCAGATTGCCTAACCCTAGCTTGAGAATTTCACTGAGTTAAAAGTTCCCAAATTTTAATATCGGTATCTGTGGTGGAGAGTCTCATGTTGAAATTCTGGATGCCTCCTAATTGTGAAGCATTCTGAAGAAAAGGTACAGCATGGGAGTTCCAAACAAACGCAAACGTTGAATGCTAAACATCAACATGCAACCTGGAGTGGGCGAAAGACCGCTCAGGTGTATATCATCCAAGGCAGGTGACTCATATTCCACCTTATCCCAAAGCCAATATTCCCTGCCTTAATGTTTACAGATGCCTTTCTCTCTTTCAACCCCAAGACAATAGACAGCTTTGTAAACCTGTTGCAAACTCTGTAGGTGGTTTGAATGTCCCAATGGGTCGTTTTTTCCAAAATATGCTGAGAAATGTGAGTCACTTTCATGCCTGAAGCAGCTGAAGCTTCAATTACAACACTGCTGTGTACACCCACAATAATTACAGGAAATCACTGGAGTGGCTTTCCCCCTTTGGGTGGAAGGAGAATCCTTTTAAGAGCACGGCGAGATGGACAAAATGGTAAGGTGTACTTAAAAGGATTGTGAACACTGCATTTCGTTCTTTGAGTAGGCAAAATTAACTCTTTAACTTGTTGCCAAAAAAGTCATTTTGAAAGCAGAAAAAGGGAGAAAAGGGGGTGTGGCAGCCTAGTGGTTAAGATGTTGGGCTTGTCAACAGGAAGGTTAGCATTCAAGACCCAAGCAACATGTGATGGGGGTGAGCTCCTATTCTTGCTGCAGCTCCTGCAAACTAGCAGTTCAAAAGCATGCAAATGTGAGTAGATAAATAGGTACCATATCAATGGGAAGGTAACCTTGTTCTCAGCTTCTTGGTATATAATCATGCTGGCCACATGACCACGGAAGCAACTAGGAAACACAGATGAGCACCATCCCTAGAGCAGAGGTGGCGAACAAAGGCCCCTTTATGACTTGTGGACTTCAACTCCCAGAATTCCTGAGCCAGCATGGCTAGTTCAGGAATTATGGGAGTTGGAGTCCACAAATCATAAAAGGGTCACTGTTCTCCATCCCTGCCCTAGAATCAGATATGACTGGTCAGGAAAAGTCTTTTTAAAGGGAGAAAGATGAATTCTGGCATCATTTTCTTTGGAAATTAAATCCAGTGACTAGAAGTGTCCCTTTATCTGTATCAAAAGTTACTGGATTCTATGTAAACTTCCTTTTTTCTCCTGGATGCTTGCAAGTTACTCTCGTGTTAGTTGCATATTTCTATTAATCCAAACACAAGAAATGAAATTCTAGCGTGTCTTCTTCGGATATGCTGGACTGTGACTTCTCAACCAGCACAGTTAAACTATGGAAGTTGAGTTCAAATGGAAGACCCAAGGTTTGGGAAAGTTACAACAGAGTAGAGGAAACCTACTAGCCATGCTCCAGTTGTTCTGAACTAAAGCATCCTTGGGCAACAGAGCCCATGATGAGGGATACTGGGAGCTGAAGTCCAGCATCATTGGCACTAGTTGCCTCTCCCCGCTCTAGAAAAATCCAAGTTTATTGAGGCCAAAATAAAGGAAATACAGCACTTGTTCACTGACAGATCCTTGTTTTAAAGGAACAAAATGTATCAAGCAATAAAAAAGGGAAAAGCAAGGATCACTTTTCCAACTAAATCTTGGCTTAGTTATTGGATTAAAATTGAACTCAGCCAGAGAGCAAACGGGCCAGTTACAAATTCCAAGCTACAAAGTCATCATCGGTTTCTAGCTTAATACAAGAATTTTGGGCTATGCATAATTCCCAACTTTTTACCAACTATGTACAAGCACAGCAAGGACACTCCCTCAACGCTTACGAGAAAAAAATGGGGAACAGGCTGATAAGAGTTCCCACCTAGCTCAAGATGTTCAGGGAAAGGATCGGAGAGCCTTCCAGAAACAGGAAATAATCTTTAAGCTCGGGAATCCAGCCCAAACGAGTTGAAGACATTTGTACCAGCCTGCCTAAAGATGCTAATGTGTCATTTTGGCAGAGACTTGGAAAGCCAAGCTCCACTCAATTACCAGCCAATTTTTTTTTAACAACCTTCCCTGCCTGGAAGGGATTTTTACTCACATTCTGCAAGAGCTACAGAATCCTCTCCATAAATCCCCCCTCCCGGCCTTCACCACTCAGGGAAAATAGGGAAGAAAATAATAATATGCAAGTATATATTCAAAAGTAAGATACAAATGGGGTGGGGCACAATCAGGATAGATTTGAGAAGGAAAGGGATTAAGAAATGATATTCAACTATTTTTGGGTCTGCAGAAATACCACCCCTAGAAAATAAAAATTAAGAGCTGGAAGTGACACCTATCACAATAGAAAAAAGAAAGGAAGAGAGGAGGAGAGGAGGGAAGGAAGATAGAGGTGAGGAGAGAAAAGATCGATGGGAGAAAGAGAGAGGGCAGGAAGGAGAAGAGGAAGAGAGGAATAGGGGAGAGGAAGGGGAAGAAGGAAGGGAAAGGTGGGAGGAAGGAAGAAAGTCGAGAAGGGAGGGAGGGAGAAAAGAAAGGGAAAAGAAGCTGGTGTCAAAACAGGCAATGAAGCAACCCAAATGATATATTATAACCCTGTAAATGGAATGACAAATGTATAAGAATGACGAATGTAAAAAAGAATAATAATTATGTGAATGTGTACCTATAATTGTATATGGAGAACAAAAAATAAAAAACTTTTCTGACAACTCCCCCCCCCCACCTCCTCAAAGGTGCAGCTGAATTGAGGAACGCCAGCAGAAACACAGAATGGATTCCTGTGTGGAAGGACTAGAACAGGGGTGTCAAACTCGAGGCCCGTGGGCTGGATCCCATCTGCAGGACTGCCTGGAAACAGTGGAGAACCAGCCCGCAGTGCTTCTGCCACAAAAAACAGTCTCCCGAGCTCTGTTTTCAGCTGCCACAGTCTCCTGCAACCCTCTGCCAGTGAAAACGGAGCTCCCTGGGCCTTGATTTTAACATCCCTGTTATAATGGGGCAACTTTTAATATGAACCATCCTTATTTGTCAGTTGCAGTTTTAATGCAAAGATTTTCCTAGCAATTTTTAAAAGAATAACGTTGGGTCTACTTTCGGAAGCCTCCCTCAATACTTCAATGAGTTTAGATCTCCTTAATGAGCTACGATGCTAGAGTTCGCCTCAAACAAGGGATAGGTGAGACAATGCCCTCTGTGTGTGTGTCTTTGGGCACTAGCTTTGGGCACCAACGGTTGATGAGCGAACAAATGCGTGTTTCACTCTCTCTG